TTTTTTTTTCCACTCATTGGCAATATGTTCTCGAACTCATACATTTTAGCTGCACAAATGACTTCCCTGTCTAGCATTCTTACATTGTCCCAGGAAAATATAAAATTTGAAGTCTGTTGTAGTGAAACTTTCAAGGGGTCGATCTCTACTTGCCTTTTTGAAAGAGACCTGTTATCTTTCATAATAATGCAGTGGCTTAGGTAGACTGCACTCATGCAAACATAAGTCTGATCTACACTATAGGCTGCAAAGCATATCTCTGATCCTGGTAGACTGGATAATGTTCAGTAAAGCTGTTTAAAATAACTTCTCTAAATTCTCTTCATTTATTATTATTATTAATAATAAAATATAAATCAATAATATATTAATATATTAGTAACTAATTTTAGTAACTAATTTTAAAATTTGGAATACCTAACACATACAATAGGTCTATATAAAAATATTTTCTGACTAGAGATTAAAGTATGAACTTGCCCCCAAATGCATGTTTTCTGGAAGTATCTAGAGGAGAGAATTATGTAGATATATCTTCCTTTAGCAGTTGAAGATAGACAAATAAATGAGACTATGAATGATTTCAATTCTTATAAATTCATTGACTTTTGTTTTTGGCCTAGCAAAAAATCTATTTGGGAGTACATTCTATATGTGTACTTGAGAGAAATTTGTGTTCTATTGGAGTCGGGTAAAATGCTCTTTAGAAGTGTGGTAGGTTTAGCTATTTCACAGGATTTCTCAAGCCTATTTATATTATGATTAATATCCATTATTGATTTATCCATTATTCAAAATGGGATGCTGAAGTCTCCAACTATGATTATTGCAGTCTCTTTCTTTCTTGAATTCTATTAATTTTTGATTTGTGTATTTTGGTGCTCTGTTATGTTAGGTACATATTGATTTAAAATTGTTATATCTTTCTGATGGATTGCTCTTTTAATCATTACAAAATATCTTCCCCTGTCTTTATTAAGTTGTTTCAATAGAATTTAATATTGAAACATTTTTATGATGACTACTTTAAAATCTGCATCAGATAATTTGAACACTTGATTAACTTAGTGTTAGGGTCAGTTGATTATCTTTTCTCATTTAAGTTGTAATTTTTTTTGTTTCTTAGTACGATAGTATGAGAGAAATTTTGTATATTAGGAACATTTTGGTCTTATTTAAACCTTTTTTTAAAAGAGATTAATCAAGAATATTAGAGAGAGAATACAAACTATTAAAGCAAACAAAAGAATCAACATCTTTTAAAATCATACAGGCACCAAAATAAGTGGATATTATGACAGAGGTAAAAATAAATTCTACAACTTAGACGAAATAAAAAGAATTCTTTTAAATATACAAATTACTGAAACTGACTCAAGTAAATTTGAATATAAAAATTAAAGAAGTTATTGTTTTATTTTTTATTATTTAAATGCGCCACACACCATGCTTAAATTAGTTTACAAATAATAATGCATTTATTGTTGAGAATTACCCAGCATAACAAATATTATTCCCTCAGTCATGAAGGAGGAAACTGAAGTTTACAGAAAATGAGTTACCTTCCTAAGACAATTGACAATGGAATTGGTCAAGAAGTTGACAGAAAAATAGTAAAGGAAAATATCTCTCTCAGGAAACAATTGTTACTTTTCTTGCAAACTGAAACCAAAAATATCAGTAAGAAACTTGAGAAATCAAAAGACTGAAATAAAAATCAAAGCTGCCATTTGAATTAAACAAGTTTATTAGATCAATAGAGAAACAAACTCCAGCATGAAGTCATTGAGGCAGTTACTGTGACATTATATCCTGATGATAGCAGAACTGTGGGTCACAGGTAAATTTCACCTTATCACTTAATGAGGTAAAATGAAGGAATTTATAGGCTAAACCAAAGGTCATCAATAGACCATACCAGACTTTAATCAAGCAGAATAATCATCACCTGAGAGATAGGTACAGGAAATGTGGAATTCCCAATTGTTGAATCCTCGTGTTCAGGTGTACAGGATGGGAATTCCCCATGGTGTCCTCAACAGTAGTAGCCATAGCCACAGCCATAGCCACAGCCCATTCTGTGGAAGCCACAGCCATAGCCACAGCCCACTCTGTGGAAGCCACAGCCATAGCAGGAGCCTTAGCCACAGTTCAAGCTTCCATAGCCACAGCATCTGTAGCCGCGACCCTCATAGTAGTTTCCGTAGTAACCACACATGGTGTTGATTGTTGCTCTTTGGGTAGGAAAGGAGAGTAGATTAGTACGGTCTGGACATTTCTCCTTACAGAGAACCTTTTCTGTGCCCTCAGTGTGGATGGGACCCACTGCATGTACTCATATCATTGGCTAATTTACAACTAATATAATTAGTATGATGTTTCAAGACTAGAGTATAACCCTTGAGAAGAAGTCTTGCTTTCACCAATTGAGGCACTTTAATAAGATGGTACAGTCATATTTACAAAGCTTTCACAAGAAAGCTTCACTTTAATATTCTTCACATAAAGAAGGAGCATTTCAGTAGTTTCAATTGACTTGCTCTTGACTACAAATAATTCTTTTTGTCCTTGACCTTCCCAAATTATACTCCCCTCTATAAGTTAATTTTAACTCTTCTTCCAGCCTAAGTCAAATAGTGATGAGTGGTTTATGTAACTTTGAGGAGATTAAAATATAGATAAAGGTAATTTGGGAGATCCTCTATATTTTAATCAGCTCTCCCCTATTTTTAGATGTGTGAAGACACTAAACCTTTACTGTTACTAATTTCATCTGCCTTGATAAGAAATTAAAATAAGAAAACAGGATTTTAACACAATCATGCCAATAAATGAAACATTTTTTATTCATTCAAAATGTTTTCTTTCTATGTATGTGTCTTTGTAGGTATATATTTTGTAAAAAAATATGTAAGCACATTATCTTCTTTTATATTATATGCATTTAAAGCTATAAATGACTTTACAATTACTGCTGACATATAATCTCATGACTTTTAGTACTTTTTAAAATTGTCATTGTAATTCTTTTAAAATTGTATTTTAACTTTCCTTGTGCTTTCTGTTTGATCTATACGATTTAGATTGTATTGTTTTGGTGGATTGTCCAGATATCTGTGTGTTCTTGATGTCTAATTTAATGTCACTAGAATCTATCCTTATTAATATATTGAATTTTATTTATTAGAACAATTTTCTAGCCCCGCATATGATCTATTTTGAAGTATTCCATAAGCACTTAAAAACAATGTGCTTTCTATCATTGTTGGATGTAATGTACTATAGATGCCAATAAAGTTAATTTGGTTAATTTGTTTCTGTTTCCATAGCTTTAGTGATTTGCTGTCTACTTAGTTCTATCAATTGCCAAGATAATTGTTTTGAAACAGATATTATTTTTTGCTTGTGAGTGTCCAGCTTTTCCAGGACCATGTGTTGGAAAGATCATCTTTTCTTCACAGTATTTCCTTTGCTCTTTTTGCAAAGATCAATTGACTACATTTATGTGAGTTTATTTCTGGGCTCTCTATTCTGCTCTGTTGATATTTCGTTTATTATTTCACCAGTACCACACTATCTTGATGGCTGTAGCTTTAGTGTAAGACTTGAAGTCAGGTACTGTAAATTCTCCAACTTTGTTCTTCAATATTGTGTCAGCTATTCTGTTTTTCCTTTTCTTTCTTTCTTTTTTTTGACTCTTCATAAACTTTATAATCGGTTTGTTAAATTCCACAGAACAATATGCTGGAATTTTGAGTGAGATTGCAGTGAATCTATAAATCAGTTTGGGAAGAAATGACATATTGGCAATCGTGAGTCTTTCTATCCATGAACATGGAATATTTCTCTATTTATTTAGTTTTTCTTTAATTTCTCAAATCAGACTTTCATAGTTTTTCTCAGATCTTGTACATATTTTTTTAAGATTTATATCAAATTATTTTATTTTATTTTGGAGCTGCTAAAGTAAATGGTATTTTTTTTAAATTTTAAATGTTACTTCATTATTAATATATAGAAAAGCAATTGACTTTTGTATATTAACCTTATATACTACATCTTGCTATAATCACTTATTAGTTCCAGGAGGTTTTTTTGTTTTATTTTGTTTTGTTTTGTTTTTATTTCTTTAGGATTTTCTACATAGACAATCATGCCCTATGTGGAAAAAGACAGTTTTGTTTCTTTCTTCTCTCTCAGTATATCTCTTATTTCCTTTTCTTGTATTATTACATCAGCAAGGTCTTCCAGAATGCTATTGAGGAGAAATGATAAAAGAGGACATCCATTCCTTGTTCCTGATCTTATCAGGAAAACTTTAAGTTTCTCACTTCTCACTATTAAGTATAATGGTGGTCACAGGTTTTTTTTTTTCTTTAATATAGTCTTTATTAAATTGAAGAAGTCCTCTATTGCTGGTTACTGAACGTTTTTATCATGAATGGGTGTTGGAGTTTGTCCAATGCTTTTTCTATATCTATTAAAATGATCATGTGATTTTCTTCTTTAGGCTCTTGATTTAACAGATTACATTAATTTATTTTTGAGTATTGAGCTAGTCTTGCATAATTGAAATGAGTTCCACTTGGTTATGGTGTATAATTACTTTTATACAATGCTGGATTCAATTTGCTAATATTTTGTTGAAACTTTTTGTATCAATGTTTATTTAGATATTGGTCTGTAGTTTTCTTTCTTTTCCTTCCTTCCTTCCTTCCTTCCGTCCTTCCTTCCTTCCTTCCTTCCTTCCTTCCTTCCTCCCTCCCTCCCTCCCTCCTTCCTTCCTTCCTTCCTTCTCCCTCCCTCCCTCCCTCTCTTCCTTCCTTCCTTCTTCCTTTCTTCATGTTTTGTAATATTTTTATCTAGTGTTGTCATTAAGGTAATGTTGACCTCACAGGATGAGTTAGGAAGTATTCTCTCTGATCCTATCTTCTAGAAGTGATTGCAGAGAATTGATGTAACTTATTCTTTAAATGTTTTGTAGAAGTTTCCAGAGAACCCATCAGTGTTTGGTGCTTTCTGTTTTGAAAGGTTATTATTGATTCTATTTATTTCATAGATACAGACCTATAAAAATTGTCTATTTCTTCTTGTGTGAGTTTTGCTGTTTATTTAATTAATCATTATAAAAACTTTATAATTCTGTTAACTTATTACTTTTATTCAGTTATTTAGATGTCTGATTGGTTTTTAAACTTTTGTTTGTCTCCCCCATTAGAATATGTCCTCTGTTAGAACAATGACAATTATTCTTGTTAAATTTTGAATTAGAGCTCACCACAGAAATCAGAGAAAACCTACATATGTGCAGATATATGTTCATGGATTGGAAGACTCAATAGTGTTAAAATGTCCATTCCCCAAAATTGATATATAGATACAATTAAATACTAATAACAATCTCCATGGGATATATTTATAAATATTAACAAACTGATTCTAACATTTTGATGGAAAACAAAGAAACTAGAATAGCCAATACAATTTTGAAAAGGAGCGAAGTTGAAGTATTCACATTACCTAATACAACCTTGCAGTAAACAAAACCATGTAGTATTTGTGAAAAAAATGGACACAATATATAGTTAATGAAGAAATAAATAAACCCAAAGATCAGCTAATGCAGTGGCTGCTCAACCATCCAGGAGACCGCAAATACTAAAGTCAGTGGTGATTCTGACACAAAACACAATTACTTGCAGGAATAAATGAAATATGTTTATTGAAAAAGTGTAATTTCCTTTAACTATGAAGTATTAATGCTCATGGACAATACAAAATCATAGCATAGGAGAAGCAAGAATTTACATTTTGAATGTAATTACTATCAAATCTTCTGTCTTCAGGTAACAACATAGAAGCATTTATAATTCCTCAATAACAAATTGGTTCTTCAAAGTAAATATAGGTGGTGTCCAATTATTACTTAAATGTAAAGATGGTAAAATGGACATTCTTTGGAGACAAAAATGTTAATCTTGAAATATCATTCTGGAGGCATAGCATGTTCTAGGATGATGTTCTACCAGCAAGAGGAATAGCATCTTCTGTAGCAAAATGGTCGGTAGGTACAGCAGCCGCAGCCATAACCAGAACCATATCCACAGCCATAACCACAGCCATAACCAGACCCATAGCCACAGCCATATCTGGAACCATATCCACAGCCATAGCCGTAGCCTCCATAGTAGTTCCCATAGTAGTTGCAACACATGATGGCAGAAGGTGAGGTTTCAACTGAGGTGCAGAGGGATGTTTCTGAAGTTTGTATGTCACCTACTACCCTGGAACCTTTATATACTGACAGGAAGGATCAGGGAATGCCATTAATTTTGTGATTCATGTAATAAATATTAATACATATTTATTTAATACCTAGTATGTGCAAGTCACTCCTGTCAGCTAATAATGAGAACTTGGATTTTCATAGCTACAGCATCTGCCATAAATAAGCCCATTATTATAATCGTTAGTTTTATTGGGAAACCATGTTTGTTTTTTGTTACCCAGGCATTTACAAATCTATAAGAAAAGTTTCCATGAATAATCTACTCACATCAATGCATGATTTCAAAGATATATTCTATGTATCAAGGCTCTGCAGAGGGAAGGAAGTTTATGTTTTGGAATGCAACTATTAAAATGAGCTCAACTAAATACTTTGATAGCTAATTAATTACTAATTACTTTGTAGTAGATTGTATTGGAACCCAGTGTTATACTATACAGAAACTCGTAACATTTTATGTTACAGAGCTATTATCAATCCAAATACTCATGAATATACTATTTTCATGATATATTTTACCCCTAGAGATATTCCTCCACAATTGTTTATCAGCTCGAGGTGGTGGTTTAATTTAAATCAGAACAACAACAGAAAAAAATAATCTTTACAATAACACTGTTGAGTGTTTGGTAAATCACAAATTTCCTCAGACATTTAATCTATTCAATCTCAATGAAAATGTGAATTAGGTAACTGATAATATGAAAGTTGAGGTACAAAAAGGTTATGAAACTTACTAAAAGTCACACGGCTAATACATGACCAAAATCAAGTACGTGTTCTTTATTATGCTACATAAGTCTCCCTTTCTAAGAATCGGGTGCTAGAACACTTGCTATAACAGGGAATTCATTATTTCCTATGATGATCCATTTTATTGTAAAATTACTCTGTTATAGAGTCCTCATACACTTCAGAATCTCTCATTATCTCCAATGTCATTTTGAGTCTCAGATAAAATTTATTTCAATGTTTTGTTCACAAGCCAGTCCCATCATGTATGGCTAATAGTGCCTCTCACCCTTTCACTGTCACTCCAGAGTGATCTATTCTTGATATTCATCTGTATGACTGGTCTCTTAATTTTCGTGATATGCAGATATGATATCCAGGTCATCCAAGTCCATCACACCTCTTATCAGATAATTTAGATAACAGTGGAGGAAGTTTGTTATAAATTACCACAACAATAGCAGCTTACAACAACACCCATTTATAATCTCACAGTTTAGTGGATCAGGAATCTAAACACAGCCTAACTGCTCAGAATCTTACAATATTGCCATCAAGATGTCTGCCAGGATATAGGAAAATCTCTTTGCTGTATAATTTAACTAGAGTTGCCAAACTGGCAAGTATGTCCCAAATATTGCATGAAATACTTTTATACTAAAAAGTTATCTGTTTTTTAACAACAGTTAAAATTTATTCATTCTGAATTTTATATACCAACCCAAATATAATGTAATCACCAGAGTAATATTTTTCCCTATGTTATGGGCAAGTTATAGGTTCTTCCCACACTGAAAATGAGGGGATTGTACATGGCTGTATGCTGTTGGGGATAATCTTAGAATTCTGCCTACCTATACCTGTAAATGTATTTCATAAGTCAAACTAGTAATTACATTTCTTCCAGGACAGATGATAGTTATTGCCATAAGGTTCCAGCACATGGGCATTTTATGAAATGTATGTCTCTTTCTCCTCTGTTTAGAAAGCTATTTCCCTTCTTGTATGATTGACCAACTCTTATTCAACCTTCATATTTAGACTAGAAGTTTGTCTCTTTTTCAGAAAGATTCTTGTTTCTACTCTCTCCTTGCTCTTAGTCTTAGCCTCTCTTCTGATTGCTTCCTCTGTATTTTCCAAACACCCCTGTGTATAATTATATTATAGCAATATTCTGAACTTTGTAGCTTGTGCAATTTTTTGTCTTTCTCACACTTTTAGGAAGCAGAGAGACACTATTTTAGTTTTCTGTTCATAACACATAATGAAAAATCTTTATTAAGAATTTAATAAGTGTTTGTTGAATGAGACTACTCATTTATCTAATTCATAAAAATTGGTTCTATTTCTTCAAGAATAACAATCAATCTTTTCATCTGCCCTCTTTTTGCCTTCCTCTTTTCAGGACTGCAATTTTTTCTTAAGATGTAGGGGTCTCTAGGAGCAATGAATTTATTTAACAATGGGTGGTTGAATCTTGACTACAATTCTGACAGTCTTCCTAAATCCTATGAAGGTGGAATTTCTAAAAACAAATATAGTATAGTGACTGGTTTCCTCTCCAAGATATAACCACATAAAATTTTCCAGTTCTGTATTTTCTTGTTATGAGCATTAGCATCATCATTTTCACAATTGGGCTTAAAAATTCAAATTCATTCCTAACCTATAGTATCCTAGAATAGGGTGGAAAGAGAAGTGGTTGTGTAAAATCAATTAATTCTACCCCTTTCCCTGAGTTCGTAATTTTTTCCTAAAATAACTCTAGTGTTTGGTGATGCTGCCTGGGTTTGACACATAGTGATAGAGCACCTAATGAGGAAATCATTCTTTTTTCAGATGATGTCACATATTAGAAAGAACTGTTGTGTTGAGAAATTTGTGTGTCATGATCATCCATTTACCCCACCCTAATTGGTGTCTCTAGAAAGACACAGAGCATATCTGCAATGCCAGTCATACTAATTTCGAAATACCAGTCTTTCGATATATAACTGTATGTACCACCCTGAATTCCCCACAATTCTAAGTGTTAATAAGAAATTTGTACTTTTTAGATATCATATTCTCTAGAATTTTTTCCTCTTTTTCACTGTGGATGTCTTAAGATCTTACAGTTCTACCTTCACAAATTCCTTGATGCTCATCTATTCCTTTTAATTATCTATGACACCACCCCAAGCTGGGCTCACTTAGCCTGTCTCCACGTCACTTATATACCTAACTATTGAATCTTCTTCTCTCTTCTTCCAACATTAGCATTTACCTTAAAAATATTTTTTCTGTGGCATTTGTCTGTGTGTGTATGTGCGCATGCATGTGTTAATGAGTGCATAAGTGTAATTACTATGGAAAAAAAGAAATGGATAAAACCAGGATCATGAAACACAGAGGCTTGAGAATAAACCCTTGAGTAAAATGAATTAAGAACACAACATTCAGCTAAGAAGAAGCCATTTTTACAGAGATGAAATTCAAGACATGTAACTTTCAGTATGTCTCAGGTACTGACCAGTCAGAATGGAATAGAGACATACACAATCAGAATGAGCAGCTGAGCTTTAGCCCTGCCAATTGCTGAGGAGGTCACAGAAATAGAAGACAAAAATATGAGGCAGTAGCATGTCTGACACAAAAGATACACAAACTCATTAGGATCAATGAAACATGTTTATTTAGAAATCACAATATAGAAACAAAATAAGAAGGTAGTAGGTTAACACTTGCACTATGGACAAAATGAGGTCTTCTGCCATCTAAGAACATCATGGAGTAACTGAGGTCCCTTCAATAATGACAGGGACTTCTAAGAAGACAGTTTTCTGCAGGCTCTGACTACTCCCACTGAATAAGTGGGATCTGATGAAATTATAAGACTTTGAAACAGAAATGGCCTTGGAATGATCATGTTAGAGGAAAAGGTGCACTGCAGTTACATTCTAGCAGCAAGAAGAAGAATATCTTCTATAGAAAAATGGCCGGTATCCACAGCAGGCAGAGCCGTATCCACAGCCATAGCCACAGCCATGGCCACAGCCATAGCCACAGCCATAGCCATAGCCACTAAATGGGTTTCTATAGTAGTTGCAACACATGGTGTCCAGAAGTGGGGGTTCAGTAGTTTAGCAGAGGAGCAGGTGGAGGTTTCTGAAGTCTGAATGTCATCTCTGCCCTGAGACCTTTATATGCTACCAGAAATAGGTAGAGCACACAACACCCACTCTGTAGCCTTACTACCACAGCAATTTTCATTTTTTAAGAAGCTCTAAGGACACATTTTTTTTTCAGGCCATTATGCCCGAGATTTGGCCCTAGTTAATCAAGGTAATTATAAGAAAACAGATGTAACCTACACATTGAACAAGTATGTCTGTGGAATGTAATAAAACACAATTTAGATTTTTATTCCAGGGAGTATTAATCCTCATGCACTCCGAGGTACCTGTATGTGGGCACTGGGAGATGCTCCAGCATCTCGCATCTCAATATTTACAGGAAAGTATCAGGCTGGAGGTCAGAGGCAAACAGCAGGATTATCAAGTGAGGCATCTCAGGTTTTATCTGTAAGAAAGTGGATGGAGTCTAGGTAGAATGGCCACTGCAGTGGTGTTTGGGGCGAGAGTCAGGTGAGGTGAAGATCTGAATTGTGCATTAGATATGTCTTTGGAAAATATTTCTCTCAGTAGTCACTTTTCTTCCCATTCTCTCGGTTAAATTTGATTTCAATAGCATCTATTACATTTTTTTATTTCAGACATTGTATTTTTGAGATGCAGATTTAAAATTTTTATCTTTCACTTATCTTCTCATTTTCATGTGTCTTTATATTCTTGAGCATGCTTATAACAGTTCTTTTAAGATCATGAAGTGCTCATTCCATTTTCTCTGTGATTTTTTTGGTTTGCTTTTACTGGCTGATTTTTTTTTTTTCTGATCATGACTCCTTTCTGCTTCTTTACTTGTCTAGTAATTTTTAAATACATGCCAGACAATGTTAATGACCTGTTGTTTAGAATGTGGTTTATGTTGTCTTTCTTTAAATAGTGTGAAAGTTGGTTTTGGCAGGCAGTCAGGTTGCTTGATCTTTTTACAACTGCAGGTGTAATGTAGTCATTAGCACTAGTTTGCCCAACTACTCAAGTTTTCTTCTTTGGGCTCTAATTTTCAAACTCTTCACTCTGTCTGGTAGAACTCAAAGTATCTCAGTCCTGTATGATCTCTGGGGATTATATGGCTTTCAGATGTGCAGTTGTTCTTTATCCTTCCTCATGGAATTTTGATGTACACTTGATTGTTTTAGTATTAAATAAGGCAGGCTCGAGAGGACCACTATGGAAATGTCTGGAGTTCTTTCATTGCTTAATTCTTGTTTCTTTTCTATCATGACTCCAAACAAAATTACAACCACTCTCTGAAATTCAATCTTTTTTTCATTGGACATAATATTGTGCTCTGCTTGGGTTCTCCTCTCTGCTAGGGCTTATATAATTGGTTTCCCTTTGTGAAAACATTATGGTCTTGAGCTACCTGTTTTACAATTTCTGAAATCAGTTTTTCATATATTTCGTCCAGCTTAATATGATGGGAAGGCAAGTTCAGTACTAACTACTCTGACATAACTAAAGTAAAAGTTTCTCTGCTGTGCACAGTTTAAACAAAGGAAATAGCTATTATTTTTTTAAAAAAGAAATCACATTGCATTGTTAGTGAAAAAGCAAGCTGAGTAATAATGAATACAGTGATCTCATTTTTATAAAAATGATGTAATATTTGCAATTTATCGAGCGGTTATTATGATATATTCGATTTCTTCAATGATAATGAGAAGTGAGTCTTAGAACAAGAGGAAGAAAGTTACAAAGATTTTTTAAAAATATATAATTTCTAATAAATATTCAGCCTATTCTGTCTTCACACCCATGATTCTGCATGAAGATTAGCTTTTCCAAATGTGTCTAGAGCAGAAGTAGGACTTACCTTCCCCTGGTTCACACTGTGCAGCCGTCTCCGGAAGTTAAGTGAGTGAATGTCCTAAAGAGGGACATTTGTCAGACCCTCCTTATTACCTTCTCTTAGAACGGATGTCGTGTGCCCTTGTTGACATCCAGTTCCCATACTTTTCCTTCATTTACTATTCTAAGGAGCATTTTAAAAATTCTCTAATAGAAAAAAGTTAATCTGCGAAAGTTACATTGTCCTCTCTCGCAAAGTTTTCTGTCTTCTTAGAGAAGGACATATACGTCTTGGAGCAGCATGCTAATCAACAACGGAAAATTGTCACAGATGTTCATCTGTTTACATGAAGCAGAAAAACATGGTTCAACATGATGACAGTCAGGCTTTATTCCCAGAGGGATGTTCCCTATGGTCTGAGACATAATGATGTTCCACAATATAGAATCGATTTGAAAATCATAATTATTTTGGAAAACTTACACAGCCATCAAAATAAACATTTAGAAAATATTAATGCCATCAGAAAATATTACCTAAATAACACCAGGAAGAAAGTCTAGCCTAAAAATATGTGTGTAATTTTTAAAAATATGTTAAATAGTTCAAAATATGTTAAAATAGAAATAGAAAAATACAGGAAAAATATACACCATAATGCCAGCATTGATTATCATAAGGTGATGCAAATGTGTAAATGTTTTATTTCCTTTTTATTTTCCATTTTTCTAAAAAAATATTTAATATTTTCCTTATTTAAAACCAATCGCTTGTCAATTAACCTTAAATGTTTATTTGAATTAAAATTAAAATACATTCCATACCAGAAAAAAGAACCATGATCATACTTTAATGAGATCCTTCTCACTGGTCCTGCACCCACTTCTAACTCTGTGTAACCCTACTCGAGCAAGATGAACGTCACTTTTTACTTATTTATTTTTACAATTGTATTCCTTGGGAATTTTAAGTTCAGTAATATTTAAAGATATGAAAATTTAGTTTCATATGGTCACTTTTCCCTCCCTATGTCATAAGAAATAATAGCAGCGAAAATAAGTTTTATTTGATGAAATAAAAGCGAAGTTATTTAAACTGTTTTTTTAAAAATTTAATCCATAGTAATTCATGACTTATTTCTAGAAAGTCAAGTCAGTTTACCTCTGACACATTAAAGAGCAGTTAGTTAATTTGAAAAACAACAACAGGATATCTTCATCTGAAGCCAAGAATTTATTTTCTATCTTCCAAATGATTGCAAACAATAATTTTACCAAATGTTTTGCAGTACATAATGTGGGTTACCATTTTTTCCACCCTCCACTGACAGCTCTCCCATTTACCCGCAACCTGAACCTGAAACCAATGACACACAGTTTCTTCCCTCATACGTTTCAGTTCTTGTAATAATTTATTAGCCAACGTTGTTGAGGCAACCATTTCCACATCACAGCAGATTACAAAAATAGATCACTATTTCTCACTCATGTTATGTGTTTGGGTCAAGTGCTATTGGTCTGTTCTTCGTACTTTCTCATACTGGGGTGTAAGGCAGAAAAAGCAGAGCCCTTGCAGACATTCTGGTTGCATAAAAGAAAAGCAGGGGTATGAGGAAAACTTTCCATTGCTCTGAAAAGGTGTGTTTAGATGCGATATAAATCACAGCTGCTCATATTCCTTGACCAAACATGTCCCATGGAAAACCCAGTATAAGTGGGGCTGGGAATCGTAATCCTCTTAACAAAGAAGAGAGAGAATTCATGGGGACAACAATACCATTCACCACACGGTACCTTTATGCTGCTCTGCTGGAAGTGGGGTCCGCATACACTTGCCCTGTGGTGAGCTATCCATCTACGCAGAAGCTTTATTCATTAGTAGCCACTTCAATCGCAAATCTTCCAGTTGTTCTAGTCCTGAGGGCAGGTCAGTCTGTTCTTGGCTTCCTTCTCTGTAATCTATTCTCCTGCTGCTGCCTTCTCTTCTAGCCCTTTCTTCACTGATTTTTGTTATTCATAACCCATTCAAACACAATTCCCTATGTGAGTAGTAGACAAAATTTTAGGTTAGTAAGAAAAAAGAGAACAGTGATTGCTTTTCTTTCTTTCTTTTGCTCCTATATTGAATCAGAGCGTAGGGAAGGAGAGTAAAGAGATAGAACAATTTCATTTGGCTGTTTGCCTTTGTGTTCTCTGTGCTTAGCAGATGGTTAAAGCTGGCATCTCTGGTTGGATCTCCTGCAAGATAGTAAAAATGACTTTTCTCTCGTTGAGTACTACTCTTTTACATCCCTGATTCTTTACTTCTCTTGATCCAGGCTCTACCCATATTTACTGATATCTATCACTTACACTATCACAATCTCTAACTTAAAAGCTTTGAAAACCGTGGCACCTGCCACTAAATTCTATTCTTACATTTAGTGTATTGAATTATCATGTGGACAACCAATTTAAGTATTCTTGCCTCAAAATTCCTTGATCCCTTCATGATGTCTGCTCCACTTCAGCCAATCACTCCCAGATCCATACTTGTTAATAACAAAAGGTGCTCCTTTTTTAAAAAACAACACATCCCTAAATCTCTCATTCCCCCAGTTCTTCCCACCTCTATTACATCCATGCCATTTTGTCTACATAATCAATGCGGATTTTTCCTTTACCACCTCCTTTTAATCTGTTATGTTTTTAACTTAATTTCCTGTGTATGCTATGGTCTATATCTCTTGCCATGTGATTATTATTAATAGTGCCATCTTTAATCTTTAAGTGTACTAGTTTGGACAAAAGTCATACGGCCTCCTAGCTCTACTGTGCGTTTCATCAATCACACTTCTTTCAAAAGCTCTTTTCTCCTTCTCTCCACCTTGTAAACTCTCGCCTGTGCGTTAATCCAGGTCTTCTCTCTACGCCAAACTCTGGCTCTTATCAGCTGCTGGAGAAAATCTCAGTGCCACACGGAGGGACGCCCCCACACATTTACAGCATTCTTGTTTTGGCTGAGTCCTCAGTGCTACTTGAGAATCCTTCCACTTATTCTCAGGCCTCTTTCTTTTTCATTTTCACGGCAGCTATCTCTCCCCTTCACCATTATCCCTAAAGCCTCAGGTTCAACGCTTAACCTCTGCCTCTGCCCTTTCCTG